ATATTGAATAAAAGATATCAGACTTTGAATTAAACTGATTCAATACTATAAAATGACGAGTAGCATGTACCGGAAATATGTTACTGTTAGCATCGTAAATGATGATTTCTATTTGATATAAATATGGCCATTTTGTAAGCATTGATTATTATTTGAAAGAAAAAGTAGATATCTGTTGAGAAAAATAAGGCGAATCTTAGAATGCTACGATCATAAAAAATTTAAATAGATACTTTTGAATCTGAACAAAATTAGATAAATTCTAGAGTGGATCAATAGAAATATTTTGAAGTTTAGAAGCATTATCCGAGTGTTCAACATTTAATGTACAAATTATTCTGCCAATACTGAGCGGTTTGAGAAAACATAACTAAGAAATTTTTAATAAAATGTTCATAAACATTTGGGATTGTTGTGAACAAAAAAAATGAGCCTTTCATCAGGCTTGGAGTATACTGTTCCATATGTGAATTAGCTAATAGCGTAGTAGACTTGAATTAAGATGTGTTGCGATGTAATGATGTACTTCACTCATATTAATCGAAGCTTATAGTACTGTTAAAACTCGAGTGTACTACTGCAACACTTTTCTCGCTTGATCCATTGTACATAATAAATCGTTCCGATTATTTTCTTGTTTTTTTTGTTGATATAATCAATATATGTTTAAGACTATTATAGTCCTCATTCATAAATTGTTATTAAAATAATATTTGGCGGTAATATTGATATTTTTTGCTATTTAGAAATGGTGTATTTGTAAATTCTTGATTTTTTATTAATATGAAAAAGTGTGATATCTGTTTTCGTGATTTAGTATGTTCACACTAATCGCAAAAAAAAATCTTTTTTAAGTAAATCAGTAGAAAACTATACGTGAGATATTCGTTAAATAATGAGAACTTTTAAATTTCTATAACTAAGAGTACATCATATATATAAATTAATAATGAGACGCATCGTATGTGATGATTTGCAAAGGGAAAACTGTTGACGATTACAATCGCTTCTTGAGAGTAAAACGAACAATTTGAAATAATCGTTCAAAGTTTTTTATTAAAAAACTAGATTTTTAATAGATACCCAGTAATTGAATATTTTCGATGATTATTGTTTTCATCGAAATAAATCCATTTTTTTCAAAATAATGATTGACTCTCTGTGTAACACAGGTACAAAAATTGGAAGATTTTAAATTGAAGAGTCTAATTGTCAATGACTTGGAATTTGGTTATTTAAAATGGATTCTTAATAATGTTAATCATGTTAAAAAACTTGAAATTAATTTACATAGCGGATATATATGGAATAGAAATGATATTATATGGAGATCTTTTATTGATGCAAATTTCATTCGTCAATATTGTTTACCTGATCGAATAATTAATTTGAAAGATTTTCGTTTTTATATTTGTGCAAATTGTCAATTATCATCAAATGATATTTTTAGAACAATAAATTCCTTTAAAATCGATTCATTTTTTATCGATCATCAATGGACAGATGTTAAATGTTTTTATAATGAAAATATATCAATGAAATATCAAGTGAGTAAAAATCATGATCAAAATACGAAGTATAGAAAAGTGAATAGATCTGTAAGATTTGTATATAAAATAAAGATCTTGAGTAACAATACGTAACGAAAAACGTCTTTTTTTGATTTCTAGAAATCAGATCGTACAAAATAGGGGTTCACCAGTTCACATTCACGAACTCCGTTCAAATGAGCGAAAGAACTGGTCAGAAGTTCTTTTGAAACGAACTGAACTTTTCGAACAGTTCTTTCTAAACGA